CAGGGGTTCTCGTTTGAACCTCCACCTATATATATATATATATATATATAGAGAGAGAGAGAGAGAGAGAGAGAGAGAGAGAGAGAGAGGAGAGGGAGGTTCAAGGAAACCTCAGAAAATTGAAAAACTGAGAAACACCCTGGTAAACGTTCATGTGGACGATATGCACATATACATACCGGTAACTGAAGCAGTTTCTTCGTCTTTATGCACGTGTGCATACCACACAAATTGCTTAAAATTACTGGTATACACATATGCATACCGTCCAGATGAAGGGTTACCAGAGTGTTCATCAGTTTTTCATTTTTTATATATGGTTTTCCCTGAATCAGACCTATATATATATATATATATATATGCATGTACGTACGTGTGTAGCTGATAACAAGTCTAGTGATGATTTTCAAAGAAAATTTCAATGCATGTAGCTGATAACAAAACCTTTTCTACATGTTTAGCTCTTGATCTTTGCCAAAGGAATTTAAATCAACTATCCATTTCTTCGGCCTTGGATGAAAATTTACTTTTTGAGGTAGAAGAACAATGATTCATTATGGACTGAAGGTCCGCCGAAAATAGCCACCCATGCATGTTGATATGCTCATAAACTCTGTGACAATTCTCAAACAATTATAAAATGGGTTACTATTCATACCCCTCTCATTCGCATAGACCTAGTTCTTACCCCCTTATCTCGTTCATAAACCCCCTATAAGAGGGTATGAATAGAATTCACCTTATAAAATCTGCTTCCTCGATCACAATTAATGGATGATAAGTAGCTAGCCTTATTGTGAGGCCTCGCTATGTTTATGAAGGATGTGTTTTGGGGGAAAATAATCAAGGACTCAATAATTTTATAGAGCCAATATTGATATCCGTTTGAAACCAAGTAAACATACTATTCTAAAATGTTAAGTTATGGTTTCTCATTGATTTTTTTCTCATTGATTTTGCTAACACCGGAAGGGAATTTCATAACTGTAAATTAAATAATAGAATTTTTCCCTTTATAGAATAGTTCTGTTAGAAGTATAAGCTAGATTTCAGTGACAGTTTATGACGATTAGTTTGGCGCCATATATGGCAGTTACTATTCTAACTGACACCTTCTAAAGGGTGCAACGGTCCAGTATTGTGTGTGTGTATATATATGTTCATAGTATGTATGTAAAAACGGATGATCAATAGATAACAAAGTGTGTCTAGTGTGTATCTGTCATCTCTTATGTGAATTTAATCTAACATTGTGGTATCAGAGCCACAAGTCTCGTGGCCACCAACATCACGAACAACTTTCATGCACAAATACTGAAACTAAATGGATCAAATTATTATCATTGGAGTATCCAAATCGAATCATAGGAACTGTGGGAAGTTATTGAAATTGGAATCAATGAAAGTATGATGCCGACAGTCCCCCCCCTCCCCCCACAAGAAGAATTAAAACGGAATCTGGAATTGTAGAAAAAAGATAAGAAGGCTCACTTCTTAATTTATCTAGCCGTTGAAGATGTTATTTTTGAATGAATATCGACCGCTACAACATCAATAGAAGCTTGGGTACTTTGTACAGGACATATAAAAGAGATGACAAAGTCAAAAATAGTAAGATTACAAACACTAAGGTGTGAATTTGATTACATCAAGATGCGTGAATCCGAGACAATAGAGGATTACTTCAACATGATCATTCTCTTATTGAATCAATTGAGATTGCAGGGTGAAAAAAAAGAGACAAGAGTTGTTGGAAAAATCTTGAGAATCCTGACAAGGAAGTTTGAATATGTAGTTGTTGCAATTGAAGAATCGAAGGATATTATTTCACTTACTTTAGAGAATTTGATCGGAACATTGCAATCACACGAACTAAGAGTGAGACATTTCGACTCTCCCTCCATGAAAACAAACATTTCAATTGAAGTCCTTGAATTCCAGCACTTCATCAAATAAATCAAATAATACTGATGATCAAAATGATAACACGAATAGAGGAAGAAGAAGAGGAAAACCATTCTCACAAATTCAATGCTTCTATTGTCAGAAGTTTGGTCATACGATCAAGGTATGTGGAAAAAGAATTGTAGATGAGAACAAGGGTTCCAACTTGATGCATACAGAAAAAAAGAATGATAAGCAAACAATGTTCATGATATAAAATACAGAAGAAGATATTTTTGATGATACTTGGTATACTATTAATGGATGTAGCAATCACATGACCGAAAATGATGCTCTATTCATTAATATTGATACTTCCATCAGAATAGAAGTTCGTACAGGTGATAATAAGAAATTAAGGGGCTGTTTGGCAGTTGCTGAATGATTTATGCAGAATAGTTAAGAGGTCAGAATGGTTAAGAGAGTCAGAATGGTTAAGTGCTGAATGAAATAATGTTGTTTGGTAATTGTTCTCTGAATGACAATAAAATTACCATTTTAACCCTCTGAATGATTTAGTACTGAATGAAATAAAGCTGTTTGGCTGATATCTGAATGAAACAATAATTTTACAAAAATAACTACAAATTTCATATTAATCCAAACAAACGTAACATTATTAGTTCGAAACAAGATTTCATATTAATCCAACCAAACATAATTTCTCATAAACTTCTGGCTCTCGTTCTTCTTCATTATCACTCAATTTATCGTCAGAACTTTCACTGCAAGATTCTTCAACCTTCTTTTTCCTTTTTCTATTCACATTTCCATGTGCCTTTGATGTGAAATTACTATTATGGGTGCCATCTGTTCCTTTAGAAGGAACTTTGGTCTGTTGGGGAAACACAGGAACTTGGTGGCTTTGTGCAGCACCTTGGACGTTTAATTCATATGCGGAGAAGGACTTCTTGCACCTTTGACAGTGAATAACTTTGTTAAGAACATCATCTCTATAGAATTGATACCTAACCGAACAAAAAGGACAAACTGTCCAGAAAGTTGATCGATTCCCAGTTTGTCCCCGCTGTTGTGAGAACTGTAAAAGTGATAATAGCAATCTTCAAAAAAACCCATCTAAATAGTTGATCTAAACAGAAGATCTATAAACAAAAAGTTATAGCAATCTTGATGTAAAAGTGATAATAGCTTCGAGAGATGTAAATAGGGAAAAGAGGTCACCGGCGACCGGCGATGGAGCGTCGAGAAGCTGTGGAAGGTACGGCAAGTTACCTGATAAGAGGTCACCGGAGATGGAGCGTCGAGAAGCTGTGGAAGGTGCGGCAAGTTACCTGATAAGAGGTCACCGGAGATGGAGCGTCGAGAAGCTGTGGAAGGTGCGGCCGGCGACAGAGGTGTGGAAGATGGAGGTCACCGGCGATGSAGGTCACCGGCGATGGAGGTGTGGAAGATGGAGGTCACCGGCGATGTGGTGAAGGAGACGATGAGAGTGCGTTGGTAAACCTGTGGAAGGGCGATGTGGTGAAGGAGAGGATGAGAGTGGGTGGGCTGGTAAAGGTATGGAAGGGTAAAGAGGGAAAAGAAACAATCTGAATGGTTTAGCATCGATTCACCCTCAAAATGGTTAAGAGCCTTGGGTAACCATTAAGAGGCTTTTTTTTTGTTGCCAAACATGCCTTACCTCTGATCGATTAAGAGGCTCCCTCTTAATGTCACCATTAAGAGGGAAACAAACAGCCCCTAAATGTCCAAGGAAATGGGTGAAGTTACTATAAATACATTACACTGAAACAAACGAATTTCAAATGTACATTACATGCCTGGACTAAAACATAATCTACTAAATGTGGGGCAGTTAATTCTCAAAGGATTCTGTGTGCAGTTTAAAGATAATATATGTGAGATAAAAGACGCAAAGGGAAATTTAATTGGCAAGGTTAGTATGACTCCAAATAAAAAGTTCCCCTTACGATTTCATGAAAATGTTTTATTCTCAAACACATCTGCACACCAGACATCTCTTTTGTGGCATAATTGATTTGAGCATATCAATTATGGTTATTTGAATTACATGTATAAGCACAACTTGGTCAGAGGGCTGCCCAACATTAATTCTACAAAAAGAAGTTTGTGAAGGATGTGTACTTGGGAAGCAATCAATAGATTCATTTCCTCAAGAAGGCACTTGGAGAGCAACAAAACCGTTAGAGCTTGTACATACAAATTTATGTGGACCTATGAGGACCACGCCTATAAGAGGGAATATATACGTTCTCACTTTTATCTATGATTTTAGCAAGAAACTTTGGGTCTATTTCATCAAAGAAAAGTCACAAGCATTCGAATACTTTAAATTTTTTAAAGCTCATGTAGAAAAACGAAGCGGAGATCAAATAGAAACTCTAAGATCAGATCGTGGTGGGGAGTTTACTACACACTATTTTCAGGAATTTCTAAAGGAACATGGGATACAACATCAATTAGCTACAAGCTACACAACCTAGCAGAATGGGGTGGCAGAAAGAAAGAATAGAGTCTTGATGGAAATGGCAAGAAGCATGATTAAAGGGAAGAAATTAACAAATGATTTCTGGGGAGAAGCAGTTTTGTGTGCATGTTATCTTATAAATAGGACATCTACCAAAGGCTTATCTAATATGACACCACAAGAGGCATGGTATGGTGTTAAACCAAATATTTCACACCTTAGAACTTTCGGTTGCATAGGATACGCTCATGTACCTACACAATTAATAGGAAAATTAGATGATAAATCCGAGAAGGGAATCTTCGTTGGTTATACTGGCAATTCTAAAGGATATAAGTTATACAATCCTGATTCAAAAAAAGATTACAGTGAGTAGATGTGTAATTTTCGATGAAGGGAAAACATAGTATGTGTTGATCCTCTCTCTCAGTGATTTGATGATAATTCCTTTTTCCTTTCGATGTATTTCTGTATCTGTAATTTC